TTGTATTGCTAAGTCGCCACTTCTCATCTTCCAGCTCCACAGCTATACTCCGCGGACTAAAGTTGTACTACGCAGTCGCCAGTTCTCAGCTTCCATCTCCACAGATTCCTCCGCGTACCAAAGTTGTACTACAAAGTCACCAGTTCTGAGCTTCCAGCTCCCCAGCTACTCCGCGTACTACAGTTGTACTACAAAGTCACCAGTGCTCATCTCCCAGCTCCCCAGATACTCCACACCTCTCGCCTGCATTTCGCCACTCGACGCGCACGGTCTCCGCAGAGGGTTGCGCAGGCATCCGCCAAATCGCACTCTCGCCTGTATTTCGCGCACTCGACATGCACGATCTCCGCAGAGGGTTGCGCGGACACCCGGCGAATCGCACTCTCGCCTGCATTTCGCGCACTCGACACGCACGATCTCCGCAGAGGGTTGCGCGGGCAGCCGGCAAATCGCACTCTCGCCTGCATTTCGCGCACTCGACACGCGCGATCTCCGCAGAGGGTTGCGCGCACAGCCGGCAAATTGCACTCTCGCCTGCATTTCGCGCACTCGACACGCCCGATCTCCGCAGAGGGTTGCGCGCACACCCGGCAAATCGCACTCTCGCCTGCATTTCGCGCACTCGACACGCACGATCTCCGCAGAGGGTTGCGCGCGCAGCCGGCGAATCGCACTCTCGCCTGCATTTCGCGCACTCGACACGCACGATCTCCGCAGAGGGTTGCGCGCACACCGGACAAATCGCACTCTCGCCTGCATTTCGCGCACTCGACACTGTAAAGAATGTCTCCAACGTCACGGGGCGATGATGCAGCCTTGGCAATGCATGGCCTGCTACATGTGGAAGCAAGAAGATGCATTTGTCGCCAAGTACCGGCGCCCGCAGTGCACGTTTTACCGCGTGTGCGAGACGTGCGAAGAGACGAAGGTGTGCGCACAGTGCGGCCGGCGCAAAGCGAAGGCCGGGTTTGCGCCGACGGCATGGCTGCGCACGCGAGGTGGATCCCGAGTATGCTTGGCTTGCACGAGCCAGGCCCATGGGCACGCAACGCGCCCGCGAGGCACGACGCAAAAGGCGAACGCATGGGCAAGGCTGCGATGCACGTTCCAGAGGCTCTCTCCCCAGGCTCCCG